GGCGAGGGTTTGGGGGTTTAAGGGAGGGTTTGGGGGTTTAAGGGAGGGTTTGGGGCTTTAAGGGAGGGTTTGGGGGTTTAAGGGAGGGTTTGGGGGGTTGAGCGAGGGTTTGGGGGTTAAGGGAGGGTTTGGGGGTTAAGGGAGGGTTTGGGGGTTTAAGGGAGGGTTTGGGGGGTTGAGGGAGGGTTTGGGGGTTAAGCGAGGGTTTGGGGGTTTAAGGGAGGGTTTGGGGGTTAAGGGAGGGTTTGGGGGTTAAGCGAGGGTTTGGGGGTTAAGGGAGGGTTTGGGGGTTAAGCGAGGGTTTGGTGGTTTAAGGGAGGGTTTGGGGGTTAAGGGAGGGTTTGGGGTTTCGGAAAGGCTTCACGAGCTAAGGGTGGCGGAGGTTTTAGGGTTTAGGGTTTAGGGTTTAGGGTTTGTGGGCAGATAAAGCTGTGGGACGTGGAGGATGGCTGGACGCGTCTTTGTTCATTTGAAAGCCACGCCCATTATGTCATGCAAGCTGTTTGGAGTCCCCGGGACCCCACGATTTTCGCTTCTTGTTCTCTCGACAGGCGAGGCCCAAACCCTAAACCCTAAACCCTAAACCCTAAACCCTAGCTCGGCGGCGGGGCAGCAGGGTGCAGCCGAAGGGGAAGCTCTGGGCGAGCCTCCGAAGCAGCGTTTGCTGCTGCTGGCGGGCCGCGACGCTCGCGCAGGGCCTCCGCGAGGGCCTAGGGTTTAGGGTTTAGGGTTTAGGGTTTAGGGTTTAGGGTTTAGGGTTTGCGGGCCGCAGGTCAATCAAGGTGTGGGGCATAGGGCCCATAGGCTCGGGGGCCAAAACTGCAGCCAATGGGCCCCCCGCTGTTGTCACTAATGCCCACTTTTCTTTGTTGGGCCACGAGCGAGGAGTCAACACAATTGCCTACTCAACGTGAGCCCCGCAGCAGCAGCAGCAGCAGCAGCAGCAGCAGCAGCAGCAGCAGTGGTGGTGGTGGTAGCAGCAGCAGCAGCAGCAGCAGCAGTGGTCGGGTCCTGCAGAGAGAGCCGGAAGCCGGCAGCTTAGTCAGCAGCTTCTGGGGGCAGGGTTTGCTACAGAGGCGTGCTTAGGGTTTAGGGTTTAGGGTTTAGGGTTTAGGGTTTAGGGTTTAGGGTTTAGGGTTCTTTGCTGCAGAGGGGAGCGGCCGTACTTGATCTCTGGCGCTGACGATGCCACAGTTCGAATCTGGGACTATCAGACAAAACAGTGCATCCATGTGCGCCCCTAAACCCTAAACCCTAAACCCTAAACCCTAAACCCTAAGCCCGGGGGCCCCCACTCCCCTTCGAAACCCTACGTGCCTCCTCCTGCTACGGGGGCTATCTCAGCCCCTACGCCGCTGCTACAACTGGTGCTGCTGCTGCTGCTGCCTTCACTGCTGCTGCTGCTGCGTCAACTGCTGCTGCTGCTGCTGTGCTGCTGCTGTTTTCCGCGCCGCTGCTGCTCCTGTGCCGCTGCTGCATTCCTTTCTCCCGCTGCTCCCCTGCCTCCTCCGCCGCTGCCGCTTTCGGCGCCCGTGCCGCTCCCCCGCTGCTGCTGCTGCTGCTGCTGCGCTGCTGCTGCTGCTGCTGCAGGGCCGTGTGGGTGCTGCTGCTGCGCTGCAGGTGCTGTCGGGGCACAGCAAAAACGTGAGCGCAGTGCTGTGCCCCCCCGGGGGCCCCCACGCGCTGCCGCTGCTGTTCTCTGCTGGCGAAGACGGCCGGCTGTGTCTTTGGCGCTGCCCCACTTTTCGAGAAGAGGGGCTGCTGGACTTGGGCCTGGAGCGCCTGTGGGCCCTCGCAGCAAGGCCTCCTGCTGCTGCTGCTGAGGGCGGCCTGGGGGGCCTCGTCCTCGCCGTCGGCACGGACAGCGGCACCCTCGTCCTCAAGGTCGGCCCTGCAGCAGCAGCAGCAGCAGCAGCAGCAGCAGCAGCAGCAGCGGCTAAGGCGCAGCTGTAGTTGAAGCAGCGCCAGCAGCAGCTGTTCCAGTGGTAGCAGCAGCAGCAGCAGCTCAAGAAGTAGCAGCAGCAGCAGCAGCAGCAGCAGCAGCTCCAGAAGTAGCAGCAGCAGCAGCAGCAGCAGCAGCAGCAAGTGTGTGGGGTGGGTGCGCAGATGGGGAAGGACGGCCCCGTGGTGTCCTGCCACGGGGGCAAGGCCGTGGTGGCGCGGGGCTTCGAATTGCTGCAGTTCAATTTGAAGGCCATTGACGAAAGCGTTCCTGACGGAGAAAAGGTCCAGTGCCCCGCCAAGGAAATTGGAAACTCCGGTCAGCCCCAGCCCGCGCTGCAGCTAGCCAGCTAGCTAGCTAGCTAGCTAGCTAGCTAGCTGCGAGGTGGCTACCTGGCTAGCTGGCTAGCTAGCTAGCTGAGAGGTGGCTAGCTGGCTAGCTGGCTAGCTAGCTAGCTGGCTAGCTAGCTAGCTGGCTAGCTAGCTAGCTGGCTAGCTAGCTAGCCGGCTAGCTAGCTAGCTAGCTAGCTAGCTGGCCAGCCGGCTAGCTAGCTGCGAGGTGATTAGCTAGGCAGGCGCGAGGCGGCAAGCGAAGTGCCTAGCTAGCTAGCTGGCTGCGGTGTGGCTAGCTAGCTGGCTGGCGCTGCGGTGTTGCTGCTGCTGCAGATATCTTTCCCCAAAGGCTAGCTAGCCGGCTAGCTAGCTAGCTAGCTAGCTAGCTGGCCAGCCGGCTAGCTAGCTGCGAGGTGATTAGCTAGGCAGGCGCGAGGCGGCAAGCGAAGTGCCTAGCTAGCTAGCTGGCTGCGGTGTGGCTAGCTAGCTGGCTGGCGCTGCGGTGTTGCTGCTGCTGCAGATATCTTTCCCCAAAGCATCTCTCACCACCCGAACGGCAGATTCATCGCAGTTGTCGGCGACGGCGAATACGTCATTTACACGGCCCAAGTGCGAAACTGCTGCTGCTGCTGCTGCTGCTGCTGCTGCTCTTGCTGCTGCTGCTGCTGCTGCTTGGTTGCTCGCTGCTCGTGTAGGCCGGCTTAAGGGTCGGCAGCAGCTGCATGCGGTGCACCTGCAGCGTGCTTCAGCAGCGTGCTTCTATTGGCCTCAATATCGCCTGTTTGTGCTGCTGCTGCTGCTGCTGCTGCTGCTGCTGCTGCTGCTGCTGCAGGCTTTGCGGAGCAAGGCGTTTGGGGCTGGCGAGGACCTGGTTTGGTCTTTGGAAAACCACTACGCGGTCTTGGAAAAAGAAAACCGAATTAAAATCTTTTGCAACTTCGAAGAGGCAAGAAGACTCAGTCCCGAGTGCTGGCCCCAGCGGCTGACTCCCCGCTTCGTGCGAGGCTGTTGGGGGTTTAGGGTTTAGGGTTTAGGGTTTAGGGTTTTGCTGCAGGCGTACAACTTCACGCCGCCGTTCAGGTTGCTCGCTGCTCGTGTAGGCCGGCTTAAGGGTCGGCAGCAGCTGCATGCGGTGCACCTGCAGCGTGCTTCAGCAGCGTGCTTCTATTGGCCTCAATATCGCCTGTTTGTGCTGCTGCTGCTGCTGCTGCTGCTGCTGCTGCTGCTGCTGCTGCAGGCTTTGCGGAGCAAGGCGTTTGGGGCTGGCGAGGACCTGGTTTGGTCTTTGGAAAACCACTACGCGGTCTTGGAAAAAGAAAACCGAATTAAAATCTTTTGCAACTTCGAAGAGGCAAGAAGACTCAGTCCCGAGTGCTGGCCCCAGCGGCTGACTCCCCGCTTCGTGCGAGGCTGTTGGGGGTTTAGGGTTTAGGGTTTAGGGTTTAGGGTTTTGCTGCAGGCGTACAACTTCACGCCGCCGTTCACTGTGGAGGAGATATTTGGGGGATATCTTTTGGGCGTGCGCAGCGACGACGCAGTTTGCTTTTATGACTGGAACAGCTACAGGTGCCCAAACCCTAAACCCTAAACCCTAAACCCTCGGTGGTGCAGCAGCTGGGCAAGGGTTTATGCGGGGCCACGCCGGGCGAGGGGTGACACCCTAGAGCTTAGCGTTTGGGTTTAGCGTTCAGGGCTTAGCGTCTAGGGTGTAGGGTTGAGGGTTTACGGTTGAGGGTTTAGGGTTTAGGGTTTAGGGTTTAGGGTTTCCGCAGGCTGATCCGGCGCATCGAAGTTTGCCCCACAGCTGTCTACTGGTCGCCCGATGGCATGCAAGTGGCCATTGTGGCTCGAGACCCTCTTGCTGCTGGTCCCACCGCCCAGGCTTCAGGTGCTGCTGCATGCAGCAGCGGCAGTTTTGGGGCTTTGTTGGACAAAATTCGGGGGTTTGGGGAAGCTAGGGTTTCTCAGGGGCAGGGGTTTAGGGTTTAGACCCCAGGGTTTTGTCTGCGCCGCCTCGCCGGGGGCGGAGCATCTGCTGTTGCTGCACTACCGCCGCCGCTGCTGCACTGCCGCTGCTGCTGCTGCTGCTGCTGCTGCTGCTGCAGGGGGCGAACGGCTGTACGTGCTGCGGCATGACAAGTACGCAGTTATGGCGGCGAACACGGCCCAGGCCCTGGAGGAGGAGGGGGGGATTCCCATTGCTTTTGAGCTGTTGCACCAGGCAAGATTTTAGAGCAGCAGCAGCAGCAGCAGCAGCAGCAGCAGCAGCAGCAGCCCACACGGCCGCCCTGGAGGCGACTCCGAGCTAAAGACCAGCAAAACAGAGTGAAGCAGATGCAGCAAAAGAAGGAAAAGCATCGCTCAAATCCCCGGCTGCCCAAACCCCAAACCCTGGCCCCACCGCCGCCGCCGCTGCTGCTGCTGCTGCTGCTGCTGCTGCTGCTGCTGCTGCTGCTGCTGCTGGTGCGCAGGCGGACGAGAGCGTGAGCAGCGGGCTGTGGGTGCTGGACAGCTTCGTGTACATGACTCGGGGCTGCCGGCTGTGCTGCTTCTGCGCGGGCCGAACTCAAACGCTGCATGCGCTCGAGACTCAAGAGCTGCGGCTGCTGGCCTACGTGCCCGAGCACAGCCGCCTTTACCTCATCAGCCCCTCGCACGCCCTCTACGCCTTCACGCTCCACCAGGCCGTCGTCCAGTACCAAGTGCGCTGCTGCTGCTGCTGCTGCTGCTGCTGCTGCTGCTGGGGGGCTGCTGCTGCTGGGGTGCTGTTGCTGGGGTTTCGGGGGGGCGCAGCAGCTGCTGCTGGGGTGCTGTTGCTGGGGTTTCCCGGGCGGCGCAGCAGCTGCTGCTGGGGTGCTCGCGGCGCTGCAGCAGCTGCTGCTGGGGTCCTGGGGAGGTGCAGCAGCGGCTGCTGTGCTGCTGCTGGGGTGTCCGGGGCGGAGCAGCAGCTGCTGCTAAGCTGCTGCTGGGGTGCCCGGGGCGGTGCAGCAGCAGAGCCAGCTGCTCACTGGCCAGCTAGAGGCAAAGGGGCTGGCAGCAGCAACTAGCGGCTAAGTGGCTGCTGAAGCAGCAGCCAGGGGGGCCCCACACTTGCTGCTGCTGCAGCTGGGCTTTTTGCTGCTAGGGCGCCATTGCGCGCGGAGACCTGCAAACTGCGGAGGAGATTTTCCCTCAGCTGCCGCTGGAGGCTCACGACGAAGCAGCAAGAACTCTCCAGGCTCACGGGTACTTGCTGCTGCTGCTTCTCACTTTGCTGCTGCCTGCTGCTCGTTTGGTGCTGCTTTTCCGTGTCTTCTTTTGCCTCTTTTCCCTCTGAGTCAAGACCTGCTTGCTGCTGCTCAGCTGCTGAGGCGAAGCCTTTGCTGCCCTCGCTATCAACCGATTCCTATCCAGTGTTCCTTTTCTTTCTTCGCGTCCCGTGGCCAGACCAAGTTGCTGCTGCTGCTGCTGCTGCTGCTGCTGCTACAGATACATTGCGGAGGCCTTGACCGTGGCGCGCGACGAGCAGCTCCGTTTTGAACTCGCGCTGTCTATCGGGAACCTTCACATGGTGAGCTGCTGCTGCCGTTGCTGCTGCAGCAGTTGACGCCGCTGCTTCCTTCCTGCTGCTGCAGCAGCCGCCGCCGCTGCTGCTGCTGCTGCTGCTGCGGTCCTAGCAGCGCGCGGTGCTGGCTGAACTGCGTGCTGCTGCTGCAGTGCGCGGAGCTCATCAGAGGCAGCAGCAGCAGCCAGGCGGTGCAGCGGCAGCGCTGGGCTGCAGTGGGCGACGCGGCGCTGCAGAAGGGCGCTTTCACTCTTGCTGCTGCAGCATTTTGGGTGAGTCTGCAGCTTTTATTTGCTGCTGCTGGCCATGCAATGTTCAGCTTCAAGCACTGCTGCTGGCTTGCTGCTGCTCTTCCGTGCTGCTGCTGCTGCTGCGGGGCGCGCTGCCGGCTGCGCCTGCATTCCGTTCTGAGCTGTGTTGCCGCTGCTGCTGCTGCGCAGGAGTGCGGAGACTACCCGAGTTTGCTGCTGCTGTACAGCAGCAGCGGAGATGTGGAGCGTCTGCGTCAGCTGGGCGCAGCAGCAGCAGCAGCGGAGCAGCAGCAAATTGCCTTCGTGTGCTACTTGCTGTCACAGCAAATGGAAGAATGCGTTGATCTGCTGCTGGCAGCAGAACGAGCTCCGGAAGCTGCTCTCTTTGCCCGCACTTATTGCCCTTCGGCAGTGGACAAAGCCGTGAAGGCCTGGAGGCAGTCGCGGACTGCTGCTGCTGCTGCTGCTGCAGCTGCTGCTGCAACGACACACGGCGTTACAAGGCGAGGCGGAGCGGAAAACGCGCAGCTTCAGGAGAATGAAGAGGTACTGCAACTTGGTCCTGTCGACCAAGTATTCATGATCTACAGTCTAGGGTTTAGGGTTTAGGGTTTAGGGTTTAGGGTTGAGGGGGAGGGGCCTCTCTTTTGGTGAGGGTTTAGGGTTTAGCGTTTAGGGCTTGGGGGTGAGAGGCTAGGGCTTAGGGTTTAGGGTTTAGGGTTTACGGTATTCTTCTGATGTGTTTTCTGCAGAGAGTAAAGATGCCAGCATATCCTTCGGAGCAGCCAGATGCCTTCCCGAATTGGGAGCTAGCCAAACAGGTGCGCTGTGGGCCAGCAGCTAGCTAGGCAGCTAGCTAGCTGGGCACAAGCAGCTAGCTGAGCAGCTAGCTAGCTGAGCACAAGCAGCTACCTGGGTAGCTAGCCAGCTAAGCAGCTAGCTAGCTGGGCACAAGCAGCTAGCTATGCAGGTATCTAGCTGGGCACGAGCAACTAGCTAGGCAGCTAGCTAGCTGAGCACAAGCAGCTAGCTAGGCAGGTGGCCGCCTCCACCACAGAAAGTTGCTGCAGCTAGCTGGGCAGCTAGCTGGGTTGCAGCTAGCTGGGTAGCAGCTAGCTGGGCAGAGGCTAGCTGGGCAAATAGCTATTTCATATGAGCGGCTAGATGGGCCGCAGCAGCAGCGAAGGGCTCTGCTACGCCGCAGTAGCACCCGTTGCTGCTGTTGCTCTTGCTGCTCCTTCTCGTGCTCCTGCTGCTGCCTCGCCTGTCGTCCGAAGTGCCAGGCGAAGCAGCAGCAGCAGCAGCAGGAACAGCAGCAGCAGCAGCAGCAGCTAGCTGTGTGGGCGTGCGGCGGCAGGCTGAAGGAGTGCTTTCTGAACTTTACCGCCGAAAGCTTCCGGCTGGGTCTTACTCAAAAGTGCAGGAGCTGCTGGAGGCCGACATCTTGCAAACCATTGAAGAGGCGGGGCCAGACGCAGTGAGGGTTTAGGGTTTAGGGTTTAGGGTTTGGGGTTTTGGACTTCGGGTTCAGTGCGTAGGGTTAAGAGCGGAGGGTCTAGGGTTTAGAGCTTAGAGTTAAGGGTTTAGGGTTGAGGCCTGCAGCAGCAGGCAGTAAAGCACCAGAAACGGGCGCTCAAGATGCAATTCAGCCATTTGGCTGCTGCAGCATTTGCTGCTGCGTTTGCTGCTGCTGTAGCTGTTTCGGCGCTGCTTCTTAGTCACTGCTGCGTTCTGTTTGCTGCTTCTGCTGCAGCTGCGGAAGCTAATGAACGACGCAGCACCTTTCTCTTTGATGGAGGATTCGCAGGAGCAAATCCGTACGCTGTGTTGCTGCTGCTGCTGCTGCTGCCTTTTGCTTGTTGGTGCTGCTGCTGCTGTCGCTGGGCTGTGGTTGCCGCTCTTCTTGCTCCTGTTGCTGTTGCAGCTGCTGCTGTTGCTGCTCATGTGGCCGCCACTGCTCATGTGCTTGCCCGCCAGTTCACGCTGGATCCTGCTGCTGTTTCGCTGCTGCTGCTGCTGCTGCTGCTGCTGCTGGCGCTGCTGCTTCTAATTCACCCATTTGTGAGTCGGGGTGTTTTCCTCAGCGCGTGTCAACGGCGACGTGGCGGAGCCTTTGTCAGGGACGCCTATGACGGGTGCGTCTTTTTGCTGCTGCTTTGCTGCTGCTGCTGCTGTCCGTGCTGCTGCTGCTGCTGCTGCTGTCACCGCCGCAGGAGGAGCTGCTGAACCTGCTGTGGCTTGCCTCAGTAGCCCAGGCCTAAACCCTCAGTGGTGGGGTTTGTGTTTGTGGGGCTCTGCAGCAGCAGCTGGGGGCCCGTCGCCCACAAGTGTAGGAGATGCACTGTCTTCTCTGTCGCCCGACGGGTGGAAGCAGCCGCAGCAGCAGCAGCAGCAGCAGCTGCTGCAGCAGGGCCTGTCCCCGCCGCACCAGCTGGGCGATTCGGTCAAGCCGCAGCAGCAGCAGCTGCTCGAGCAGCAGGAGTTCTCCTCTCCTTTAGGCTACAACTCTTCGCTTTCTCCCCACCCGCAGCATCTGCAGCAGCACGAGCAGCAGATGTCCAATCCTTTTGCAGCAGCAGCAAATCCCTTCAGCAGCCCGGGACTGGCGAAGGACGCATCCACCGCGGGCAGCAGCGGCACTTACATGCCGGGGCACACGGAGCAGCAGCAGCAGCAGCAGCAGCAGTTCCGGGAGCAGCTGCACGAGAAGCAGCTGCTGCATGAGCAGCAGCAGCGGCTGCACGGCGACGCCAAGCGGCTGGCAGGGGCAGAATGGGGAGATGAAGACGAAGACCAAATAGAGTTATGAAGTGGCTAGCCCTTGCTGCAGCAGCAAAAGGAATGGGGAGCAGCAGCTGCAGCAGCAGCAGCAGCAGCAGCAGCGGCCCCATATAGACCAGAATCAGAAAAATAAAGCATAGGCAAGGAGACGGCACGAACAGCAGCTGATAGGCGCGATAGCGTGGAACTAGGAAACTCGCTATTCCATTCAAGAGCCCCCTGCAGCACTGGCAGCAGCAGCAGCTGCTGCAGCTGCTGCAGCTGCTGCGGTGACGGGCTGCTGCTGCAGCTGCAAAGACTAATGCTGTTTATGTGATGTGTACTGCTAGAGATGCCCAACTGGCTGCCTCGCATGTTGGGTTCGCACAGTCTCCCTGTGCATACTGCTGCTGCTGCCTCCGTAGCAAGAGCAGCAACGAGAGCAGCAGCACGAGAACCAGCTGCTGCTGCAGCCGCAGCAGCAGCTACATTCCAGAGGCCCACAGACGTGTTCAGTTTCTTTGGGGTGTTGCATCACCCCGAACTGGCAGCAAAAGCTGTAGAGATTTTAAGGGCCCGCCGACGCGGCAGCAGCAGCAGCAGCAGCAGCAGCAGAAACAGCAAGAAATGCAGCAGCTCTTAGGCCCCCATTTCTCTTCGCATCTTCCTGTTGTATTAGCTGTTTAGCATCGCCAGCCAGTTCGTTTCAGATGCGCCTGTTTGCGGTGTTTCGTAGGCATGTTAAGTCCACGGCTTAGGGTTTAGGGCTTAGGGTTTAGGGTTTAGGGTTTAGGGTTTCAGCAGCAGCTCGCACACACAGGCATCACCTTAGGCAGAAATTTAGGCACTTGTAGTCTTATACAGAAAGTTAGGCATTTTTAGCCTTTATATAGAATATAAATATTTCTCCAATTGTACATATATGATAATTATATGAATGTAGAGAAAGTGGCATTTTCAATCTTTATGTAGGATATATATATTTAGATCCTCCAATTGTACAAATATGATATTTATATGAATGTACAGAAAGTTAGGCAGTTTTAGTCTTATACAGAAACTTTGGCATTTATAGTTTCACGTAGACAGTTAGGAATTTATAGTTTTATACAGAAACTTGGGAATTTATAACCTTAGGCAGAGTCCCAGAAGTAACCCTTAAAGTGTACGGCCTGGTCCATAAGAAGTAAATATAGATATATAATATATATATAGACATACATCTGTACATACATACATATATACATATATATACACATATACATACTATATACATGTATATATATTTATATTAGGTATATATATAATATATACATATATATCATACATAGCTATTATTTATATATGTACTCTGTATATATGTATATATATATATATATTTATATATTTATTGTATATAATATGTATACGGCCTTGAGTAAATAAAGCCAAAGTTTTGGCCTTAAAAGGCCTCAGTGCAAAAACTCATCAAGAAATATTTTACTTCGCACAAATTGTCAGCAGCAAATCTCGCGGGGCCAAAAGGCCGCTTCACAAAAAAGAGCTGCGAATTGGCACTGGAGCACGGGCTGCTGCTTCAGCAGCAGCAGCAGCAGGGGCTGCTGTCGCTTCAGCAGCAGCAACAAGTGCTGCAGCTGTGCAGCAGCATCAACAACAAATGCTGCTGCTGCTGTGCAGCAGCAGCAACAAATGCCGCTGCTGCGGCGCAGGAGCACGACAATAAGTGCCACTGCAGCGCAGCAGCAGCAACAAGTGCTGCTGCTGTGCAGCAGCAGCAGCTGCTATTGCTACCATTGAGCTCGCCGACTCTCGCCGCGGCTGTTACCGTTGCTGCTGTTGCTGCTGCTTCTGGCACTGCAGCAGATTAGAAGGGTCCTGGCTGGTAGGCATCTGCTTCAATGTGTGGGTGCAGCGGCTGCTGAAGGTCTTTTTGCTGCTTTCCTGCTGCGTTAATTGCTGCTGCAGCTTTAGGATCTGCTGCTGCAGCAGCTGCCGCTGCAGCAGGAGTGGAAGCTGCACTCGATGTCAGTTGAGCCTCATCCTCTGTAGTGCTGCAGCAGCCTTCGGGGTCTGTCGGGGCCTGCTGCTGCGTGTTATCATTAGTGCTGCTGCTGCTGCTGCTGCTGCTCTTGCTGCCTTCCCTGTCTGCTGCTGCTTTCCTGTCCATGCAGCAGCTGCTAGTGGAGCAATCTGTTGCTAGAGAGCCAAGTGACCTGAATAGAGAGAGCATTTGCTGCTGCACTGACACAATGGCAGCAACTGATGCGTCTAAGCATCGTCCCAAGAGCGATCTGCTGCTGCTGCTGCCGCTGCTGCTGCTGCTGCTGCTGCCTTGTGGCTTCTCTTCTCCAGCTACTGGGCTGGGCTCCTTCTCAAGGGATTCAATTCCCGAGTGCTGTAGCCCCTGCTGCAGCTCCTGTTGCTGCTGGTACAGCTGCTGCAGTCGCTGGCGTTGTCGTTGCCGTTCTTCTTGGCGCAGCTCCTGCTGATGAAGCAGGTCCTCCAACTCTTCCTTCTGCTCCTGCTCCTGCTGCTGCCGCTGCTGTTGCTGCTGCTGCTGCTGCTCGCGCGCCGCACGCGGCGTGGAGGGCAACATCCACATGGTCTCCGCACCGTTTGCTGCTGTTGCTGCTGCAGATGTCTCAAGCTTCGTAGCAGCACACTGTTGTAGCTGCTAAGCTTTATTAAGGTGCTTTGTTTGTCTTTTTAGGTAATCCTTTGTTGCTGTTGCTGCTCGTGCCGTTATTGCTGCTTCTGCTGCTGCGCCGCCGTGGTTGTCCCGAGGGCAGCACCGCCAACGGAGGCCTGTGCGTACCTTTAAATACGAAATGATGAGTCAAAAACTTGAAATAAAACCTCATTAATTACCGGATGGGCTCACAGAGTAGGGGCTTGTTGTTCTAGCAGTTTCTTGCGAGCCAGCAGCAGCAGCCGCAGAGGTAGTAGACCAGTGGTCGATTGCTGGCTGCTGCCAATGCTCTTCCAGCAGCTGCTGCTTCCCCTGATGCCTTATTTGCTTCACACTCAGGTTTCTGAATGCTATTTCGTTTCAAGTGCTCCGGGGGTCTTGGGAAATTCCTCAACAGCATCTCCACGGGCTGAGAGAACAGCAACGGCGACGGCTGTCCAGCAGCAGCAGTAGCAGCAACAGCAGCAGTCTGGGCCTTATCTCTGCACTTTAACAGCCTGCTGCCTCCAAAATATTTTGAAGAGTATGATCTGGCCGTGGCAGCCTAGTGGGGATGCTGCAGCAGCGGCTGCTCGAGCTGCTGCAGCACCCCCCGTAGGGTCACCTGCAGCAGCAGATGCTCGGGCACCAGCAGCAGCAACGCAAGCAGCAGCAAGAGCAAAAGCAGCAGCAGCAGATTGGCAGGATACAGAGTCTTCTTGGTCTGCAGTGTGGCCCGCATTGTTCGGCACTGCCGCGTCATCGTCTGCTGCAAACAGCGAAACAACAGCAGCAGCGCCCGCTGCTGCTGCTGCTGCCGCTGCTGGAGCAGAAGCAGACTCCCCATCAGAAGCTGTGAGAGAGCTAAACTTGAACTGGGATACCCTCACTGACGCTGAGGCTTGTGCTGCACTGCTGCTGCAGACGACAAGCCGCTGCATGGAGTCGCTGCTCGCCTCTTGCTGCATGCGAAAGAGGCGAGGGGTCTTTCCTTTCCTAGAGAGGGGCACCAGCAGCAGCAGCAGCAGCAGCAGCAGCATGGCGCAGGAATGAAGGAGCCCATAGCTGTGCCCGTTGCAACCTCCACCGTAGCAGCTTCTGCGGCAGCAGTAGCACCAGCAGCTGCTGCTGCAACTCACTGCAGCAGATCTTCAAGGAAACCACCCCCAAAAGTTTACGTTTACAGGGATTTTGTAGCTTTCTGGCTTGTGGCAAGCCACCAGCTAGCTGGTAGCTAGCTGGTAGCTAGCTGGTAGCTAGCTGGCGGCCAGTGACGGCGTCTTCTGCTTCTTGGACCGGCCGACTTCCTGCTGCTGTCTGCTGCTGCTGCTGCTCGCTGCTGCTGCTGACAGGTAGCAGTACTGCAGCCCTGTATGGGCCATTTCCGGCTAGTTGGAGGCCTCAGGCCCTAGCTTTCGAGACTGGCAGCAGCAGCAAAAGAAATAAGACTTCCTACCGTAGCAAAAACGGAAATACTAACTGCATAATGGCAGCAGCAAGCCCTTAAGCAGCAGAAGCAGCAGGAAGCTCCTGCTGCTACAGCGGCTGCTGCTGCTGCTGCTAGTGTAGTGGCAGCAGCTTCTGCATACGGTCAGTGACAAATGTAAAACAATATTGAAGGGCTCATGTCCAATCGGGTTCCCGCAGTCGCAAACCCATTTGCTGCTGCCACCACGACCCGCAGCAGGTGCTCGGCAGCAGCAGCAGCTGCTGCTGGCTCAGCAGCAGCAGCAGCTGCTGGCTCCGCAGCAGTAGCGGCAACAGCAGCAAAATCAAACACGGCTGCAAGAATGCATGCGCAAGCTGCAGGGTTTCTTTTACAGCAAACAGCTCGCCACCTGATATACTGCTGCTTTTTTTTCGGTTGCTGTTGGGATTGCAGCTGCTGCAGCTGCTGCAGCTGCTGCAGCTGCTGCTGGCAGGTGCTGCTGCTATTGCTGCTTCCGGGCCTGCTGGTGTTGCTGCTTCTGTAAGTTCGGCAGCCATAGAGGTCGTGGTGCTGCTGCGGTTACACCACTTGAATAAAGTCAAACGAAGCTGCTGCTGCTTCAACTGCAGCAGCTGCTGCAACTGCAGCAGCCGCTGCAGTTGAAGCATGAGTGCGTAGGCAGCAGCAGCTGCTGCTTTCGCAGTAGATGCAGTCCCTGCTGCTGCTGCTGCTCCTCGCTACTCTGGCAATACATCGCCTACAGCAGCGGAATTGCTGCTGACGCAGCAGCTAGAAGAACATGGCCAGGCCAGGCAGCAGGAACGGCTGCTTGGGTTGGCGGTGCTGCAGCGGCTGCTGCTGCTGTTCTTGGTGTGCTGCTGCTGCTGGATGTGAAAACATAGTCAAGTTGCTGCTGCTGCTGTTGCTGCAGCAGCAGGAGAAAATAGTCGCAGTGTATGCTGGTGAAGCAAGAGGTCCACGACTGCTGCTGCTGCAGTAGCGCCAGCAGCAGCAGCAGTTGGTAAGGAGAGCTGCGTCAGCAGCAAATGACACCCACCTTTTCCCGTAAAGACACAACAGAGGGGATATAAAAAGCAAATTAAAAGAGACAGGAGACACAAAACTTTGAAAAAAAAAACAATCCTGCTTCAATCTTCGCACGGCACCGGCAGAGCCTCTTGGCGGCAGCCAGCGCACTGCAGCAGCGGCTGCGCGCAGTTCTTCGTGTTGCACTGCAGCAGCAACAGCAGCAGCATAAAACCACAAGACACGCAGAAACGGAACATTTCCAAGAGGTCCGCTGCAGCAGCAGCAGCAGAAGCAGCAGCAGCAGAAGCAGCAGCAAAAACAACCGCAGCCATACGCCTGCTTTTCAGCAACAACGACAGCAGCACCGGCGTTCACCACTGTGCTGGCCGCAGCACCACAGGTACAGCACCTGCGGCAGGGAGAAGCACTGCAGCAGCAGCAGCAGGCACAGCAGCAGCAGCAGCAGCAGGCACAGCAGCAGCAGCAGCAGCAGCAGCAGCAGCAGCCTGCGACTCACATCGATGCACCGCTCTGAGCAAGTGTTGATGAAACAAGACCTGCGGCAGACGGAAGCAGCACAAGCCGTGGCCACCCCGAAGCAGCTGACGCAGGCCCTGGAAATGTTTTGCTGCATTTGCTGCTGCACCTGCAGCAGCACGCAGTTGGTGGTCTTCTCTGCATCCCCCAAAGACCTGCGGCCGCACTCATCCAAAATTCTAAAAAAATGCGAAGACGGGTGTGGGCCGGCGCGGCGGCTACTGGGTAGGGGGAGGGCTGCTGCTGCTGCTGCTGCTGGGGGTTGCTGCTGCGAGTCCGTTGCTGCTGCTGCGGCCACTGCGGCCGCTGCCACTGCTGCTGCTGCTGCTGCTGCTGCTGCTGCACCCGCATACTGCGCCGCGTGCGCCGCCTCGCGGGCCGCCCGGCCTCCGAAAGACACAGCAGACTCCATCGAGTCTCGCAGGTTGCTGCTGTCGCTGCTGCTGCTGCCAGCAGCACCTGCAGCAGAAGCATCCGAAACCTCAGCAGCAACAACAGCGGAAGCTGCGCTCGTTGCTGCTGTTACCGCTTCGTGCGCCCGGGCAGCAGCTGCTGCTGCTTCTGCTGCCAGGTGCTGGATGGTCTCGAAGGCGCTGGCTGTGCCTTGCAGCTGCTGCTGCTGCTGCCGCTGCTTCTGCTGCGGCTGCGCCGGCAGCGGCAGCGCCAGCGGCAGCTGCGGCTGCGGCGGAGGCACATAAGGCATCCAAATAATCTTAATGTCTTCTGCCGTGCAGTTCCCCTCTGCTGCTGCTGGTGTGGGGCAGCACAGCAGCAGCACGGCTGCGAGAAGCAGCAGCAGCAGCTGCTGCAGCGGCAACGACATGCAATGCCGGCGCTCCATATCGTGCAAGACGTGCGTGCGTACCGAGAATGATGTTGCTGCTGTCACTGACACCCAGGTCAGCACTTGCTGCAGTGGCTGCTGCTGCTGCCGCTCCCGCTCCTGCTGCCCTCACTGTTGTTCAGTTTGTCCTCCCGCTGCAGTCAGTGCAGCATTTGCTGTTGCTGAAACCGCTATTGCTGCTGCTGCTGCGACTGCAGCGCCAGACGAAACGCCGCCCAGGTGACCCCAAGAGAACGGAAGGAGCTGCTGCTGCGTAGCAGAGTTGCATTCAGTTGTTTGCTGCAGCAGCAAACGCTTCCGTTGACTCTAGTGTTAGTGCTGCGCCTGCCACTAGGGAAGGCAGCTGGCGCGGGTTGTCCACAGGAAGCAGCAGCACGGCGTTGCTGCATAAGATCACCTGTCCAGCGTCGCAGCACGCAAGCAGCAGAAGAGAAACAGCACCAAAAGTAACCTGTAAGCCTCCACGTCTCCTCAAAGACAAAAAAGAAATCAGACAATCACAAATGACAATACAAGGAATAATATGTGGCGGAGCAGCACCACGAGCAGCAGCACGCGTAGCAGGAGAGGCTGCTGCTTAGGCGGCAGTGGTAGCTGCTGCTGCTCATTGCTGCTGCTGCAGCAAGGCCTCCAACCCAAGCACTGGATGATCGCTCAAGTCCCCGCACACTCCAAAAATGTTAATTCCATGTAATAAACTAATTTGCTTTTAATGCAGCAGCAGCTCCTCTTTGCTGCATCTGTGCAGCAGGAGTTGCATCCCTGACCAGCAGCAGCACAGCTGCTCGGTCTGCAAGCGACGCCCAAAGTTGGAGCAGCAGCCGCACATGCCGAAGGAAGAAGCGCAGCAGCAGCAGCAAGTGCAAATCTACCTTCGAAGACATCACTGTAAACAGCAGCAGCAGCTGCTGCTGCTGCTGCCTTTGCTGGCGAATCATGAGTTGGGAACGTCGGCGGCAGGGGACTGCCCTGGCCGCTGTCGGGGCTCTGCTGGTGTGCCTTGCTGCTGCTGCAAGTAGCCGAGCAGCAAAAGAGGCCAGCAGTATCCCGGTGCCAGCAGCAAACCGTGCTGCAGTAGACGCTGCCGCTGCTGCTGCTGCTGCTGTCGGCGCCGCCGATGCTGCGGAGCGAGAGCTTGCTGCTGCAGATGTTGTTTACGACTTCCCCCTGCATCGCTTGGCCTTCGGGTCTTGTTTTCGGCAAAGGCACCGGTGGGAGGCAGCAGCAGAGTCAGGAGCAGCAACAGCAGCAGCTAAAGCAGCTGCTGCTCTGGCTGCTGCCAGGCGGGAGAAGGTCTTCGAAACCATTCGAGCGACACACCCAGAAGGATGGCTCTGGGTTGGCGACGCAGGATACGCAGGTTTGCTGCTGCTGCTGTTGTGGCTGCTGCTGTTCCCTCTGTTGCTGCTACTGCTGCTGCTGCTGCTGCTGCTGCTGGTGAGTTTGCTGCTGCATCTGCTACCGAAGGCGCCGTCCGCGTTTCTGGGTCTGCTTGTACGAGCTTGCTGTTGCTGCAGTTGTTGGTGCTGCTGCTGCAGCTGCTGCTTCAGCCTCCGCAGCGTGTCTTGCCTTTGGCGACTGTGGGTGTATAAAGACAACAAGATGAGCCTCCGCCTTGCTGCTGCTGCTGCTGTTGCTGCTGCTGCTGCTGCTGCTGCTGCAGAGGGCTCCGATGTGGCCTCAGTGAGCGCTTCTCTTTCCTCTTTGCTCGACATTGCCTCCCTGAAGATGTTTAGAGAAAGTCTTCGTTTTTATGATGGCACATGGGATGACCACGACTTCGGTAACCCTAAACCCTAAACCCCAAACCCTAAACCCTAAACCCTGGGGGCCGGGGCGGCCGCGAACTAGGGTTTGTGGCTTAGAATCGGCCCTAGGGTTTGGGACTTCGCGCAGGGATGAATGACGGGGGTAAAAACCAGAAAAACAAGCAGCAGCTGCTTCAGGTCTTTCTTGACTTTTTGGGTGTGGGGCCCCACAGCCCCAGAAGAAAGAGAAACGGACTTTACTCTTCCCACTTGTTTCCTCTGCCCGAGCAGCAGCAGAGGCATCAAGAACAGCGGGAGCTGCAGCAGCAGCAGGAGCAGCAGCAACAGCAGCAGCAGCCACAGCAGCAGCAGCAGCAACAACAACAACAGCAGAAGCAGCAGCCACAGCAGCAGCAGCAGAAGCAGCAACAACAGCAGAAGCAGCAGCCACAGCAGCAGCAGCAGCAGCAACAGCAGAAGCAGCAGCAACAGCAGCAGCAGCAGCAGCATCAGCAGCAGCAGCAGCAACAGCAGCAGCAGCGGGAAGGCGTGCGCGTGCTGCTGCTGGACACGCGCAGCGAGCGGGATATGCACTACTTGCCCAGTGCAGCCATGTGGTCGCTGCAGCCGCCGCTGTCGCAGCTGCTGTCTTTCGCGGGGGCCGGCAGCAGATTTTTGCTGCACCTTTTGGGGTGAGTTTGCCCCAAGCAGCAAACCCTAAAAAGGGGTTTAGGCCTTCCACTCTTTGCTGCTGCGTCCTTTGAAGCCGCCCCACACCCTGTCGAATGCCTCCTTGGCGGGGCCCAGAGGCGGGTTTGGCCTTTAGGGTTTAGGGTTTAAGGTTTTCGGCTTGGGGTCTAGGGTTTAGGGTTTACGGCTTAGAGTTTAGGGTTTAGGGTTTAGGGTTTAGGGTTTGGCGCAGGCTGGGGTGGGCCTACGAAGGCGACGTGCTGGGAGAGGAGCAGTGGGCTTGGCTGGAGGCTCAGCTGAAGCACTCTCGCGCAGAAGCCCACATTGTGGTATCTTCTGTTCAGGCGCGTCTAAACCCTAAACCCTAAACCCTAAACCCTAAACCCTAGCTTTTTGCGCGGCGAGGCGCCCTGCGCGCCTGAGGAGGCAGTGGGGCCTGGCGGGTTGTTTAGGGTTTGTCTTTAGGGTTTAGGGTTTAGGGTTTTGTGGTTTCGTTTTGTTTCAGGTTTTGACGGGGCTGCCTGTGGTGGAGAGCTGGGGCCACTTCCCCGCTTCTCGCCAAAGACTTTTCAAACTTTTGCAACAAACAAAACCAAAAGGTCTTTTCTTTTTATCGGGAGATGTGCATTTCACGGAGTTGCTGGGACAAAAGGCGAGTTCGGGTCCTTAAGCGCAGCAGCAGCAGCAGCAGCAGCAGCAGCAGCAAGAGCTCCCAGTGTCCTGCTCGGGTTCCCCGTGCAGCCAAAACGCATGCAGGGGCTTCGACCGTGGGGGCCCAAGGGGCTTGAAGGCCCTTCTTGCATGCGTGGGGCTGCATGCAGGCCTCTCTGCTGCGGGGCCAGTGTGCTGCTGCTGCTGCTGCTGCTGCTGCTGCTGCAGGAAGGTGTTCTTGAGCTGACCAGCAGCGGAATGACTCATAGCATCGGAGAGTCCTGGTGGGCGCGGCTGCTGATGCTGCCGTTGCTGAGGTGGATATACACCGCAAGGCTGCGGCCAGAAGCTTTTTCTTTGAACAGAAATTTTGGTCTTGTGGATTTCAAATACTTTTCAACAACTGGTGCGTTGCATGCGCGGCTTTTCTAGTGCTGCTTTTGCTGCGGGTCTTGCCCTTTCCCCGAGGCTGCAGCACTGGCACTCTTCCTGCTGCTGCTGCTGCTGCTGCTGCTGCGCTTAGGGTCTGTCGCAGAGGCTGTGCTGTCGTCAATAGACGCAGAAACTGGCGATGTGCTGCTGACGGAGACAATTTCTTTCTCAGAGGCAGAAAGTGAAGACAGGTGGAGATTGCTTACAGACAAAGTGCCACACGTGCTGCGGCCCCCAACGCTGCTGCAGCGGCTGCTGCAGCTCGTCCTGCTGCTGCTGCTGCTGCTGCTGCCTTTTGTGCCGCTGCTGCTGCGTCCTGCAGCCCGTAAATGGCTGCACCGCGCTTGCATGCGCGTACGGAGGCCCAAAGCCTACCAGGCTCTGGTGTCTGAGGAGGCACCAGGTAGCAGTAGCAGCAGCAGCAACAGCAGCAGCAACAGCAGCAGCAACACCAGCAGTACCTGCACTAGCAGCAGCAGCAGTCGCGAAGCGGGGGAGCCGCGCAAAAGAAGCGTGAGCCCAGTGGTCACTCACGCTTCTTAATTTGCTTGCTTAGAAAGTCCCTAGCAGGGACTTGAAAATGTACGCAGCAGCTGCTGCAGCCGCTGTTGCAGCAGTTGCTGCAGCGGCAGCTGCAGCAGCGGTGCCTTCAGCTGCTATTGCTGCTGCTGAGGGATAGACCACTGAGACTTCTAAATGCTTTTAAAGTTCTGCCACTGCTGCTGCAGTCTCTTTAGCTGGTCCCGGGAGAGCTACAGCGAGCAGCAGCAAACGGAAACAGAGAAAGACAAAAGTAGACAAGTGGAAGCAACAGAGTCAGAATGAGACAAACAGCTGAGACTTTTGAGGGGATATCTCCCCATGCGCATGCGCTGCAGCAGCAAATATTATTTTTGTTCTGCGGCTGCTGCTGTGCTTGCTGGAATTCTGCGGCATTTAATTGGCCAGCTGCTGCTCAAGCTGCGTGGCTGCGAGGGTTCTGCGGCAGGCACTGCAGCAGCAGCATTCTCCTAGCCTGCTGCAGCTGTTGCTTAGATTGCTGCTGCTGCTGCTGCTGCCGTTGCTGCAGCGTCAGAAGTTAACTCGGAGCACAACTTCCCTTAGGGGCTTATTCGCCGTAGCGTCGGCACCCCTAAGACCCACGAAGCTGCGGCTGCTGTGGGGCCCCCCAGTTGCTGCAGCAACAGCTGTGTTTGTTGCAGTTTCTTTTTTCTCTATAGTTTGGCTCTCAGCATCTCTTTTGAAAGTAGACAGCAGCGTCTGCATGCTTCTGGAGGCGCATGCACAGAGCCGCACTTGCTGCAGCACGCGGCGCCGCAGCTCCCACTCGTCGTAGCTGTAGCTGCTGCTGCTGCTCTTGCTGCTGCGAAGCTCTGCAGTCAGCTGCAGCAAGTCGGCGGTGTCTACTGCTGCATCTGCTGCCTTGCCCTCGCTTATCCGCACATACAGCTCAGGCCTATACTCCCAGTCAGCCTC